AATGCTCAAAACAAAGGAAAAAACTGAAAATGCAAAGTTTTTGTAAACATTATCATTTTTGGAGCACTACTGCACAAAGGAAATACAATAACCCATTTTTTCCACCAGATATGAAAAGACCTATGTCTGAACTAACCATAGTTAAAGGGAAATTATTCTGAATGCCCTGGCAAGTGTCAATTTGGAGAGTTAAAAATGGTGTAAAAAATGCAATTTTGATAGTTGTAAAAACATGCTGTATTGGCCAAAACACATAAACGCCCGGAAGGTTACTTAGTCCCCAAGTCCTTTCATCCCAGAAAGAATAACAAGATTTTTTTTTAGCGTGGACACACTTACCACAGACTTGGACTTGATCATCAGTAAGGGATTAAACCAAAATAAACACCTTAATTGAAACAGTATTGTAATACAATCGTGTGTCTAAAGAACAGCAATATCAAGAAAGTATTATGGATTTGACTTTGGAAAGAATAGAAATCAGACGTTAATTACATTGTATCTGCTTCAGCTTCTTCGTGGACAAAATAAATGATTAATGACTGCAAAGGAACAGACAGCTCATTAAATTAAAAGCAAGCTGGACATTATTTCGAATTGAACAAGAGTAGACTTATTACTTGTTTCTGAGAAGGAAATGGAACTTTAAAAAATGCAAACATAATATTCCCTCCTTTCCTGTTTTTTTTTGGTTTAGGCTCAATTCTGTTTGTAAATATCTTATTTTTGGGTTCGGTAGGTGACTTATTTTTTTTCGTTTAAAGTTATGTTTCTTTTTTCCTTCCGCTTGCATATTGTGTGATTTCTGACTGCAAACGATCTGTTAAGTAGTTGAAAATGGAATTAGGTCAAGGAGATATGCAGAATAATGCTGAGATGTATTCAAAGGTAAGAAAAAAAGCAAGTTGTATCTTTAAGGTTTTACTTATTTCACGGAGGATGAAACCTCTTACACGGGTCGGCTGAGATCCCTTTAGACAGTTTATACAAACTATCAACTGTTCCCAATTCTTGGAAATTATTTCATTTTTGTTTGGAAAAGGGATGACACGATCCCATTCAGTGACACTTCTTCTCTAGTGACTTGTATAAATTAATATGGATTTTAAGCACTTAGTCTTTGCCAGTTATGTCCAATTGAAATGTAGAGTGGGCGGACATAAGAGATTGAGTGACTATGGTAGGCTGGGTAATCAAAATAATGTGAGTAAGGGTGCGAGCAAAGGATTATGTTCGCAAATCCTCTTGTTGCCGCGCAGCGAAATATTTTCCGGGGCTACGCGCCGTAAAAACTGAATTTTCCCATATATACGTCGTGTACACTGAGCAGAATTACCATTCGCACATATTAATAATTATTTAGCCATAATTACAAAACCCTTAAACCTATAGTCACGACATTTCTTGGGTATGTTTATGGTGAGTTGCTCTATGCATGTATCGAGTTCCAAAATGTTTGGTCACTCGATGGCCGAGATCTTAGCCCCCCCCCCCCCCCTCGGCTAAAAGATGGTCAAAATAGCCCGGCCCCTTTAGGGTCAATACAGCAAATCTGCTCTCCTTTGAGATCATATAGGCCTCAATGCTATTGATACACAACAAACAGGGAACCAAACATAAGACCACCAAAGTAACCAAAGAAATCAAATCGTACACTTACGTAATTCTTTGTCATCCGAAACGTACCGTACCGTGTATGGAATAAAACAAATTGAAAACATTCATTGAAACAGTTTTGTAATACAATCGTGTGTCTAATGAACAGCAATTACATGGTAACAACCTCAGCTTTTTCGTGAACAAAACAAAATGATCAATGACTGCAAAGGTAAAAAAAAAAAACCTCATCAAATTAAAAGCAAGCTGTATAATGTTTTAGTTGTGTTGGAGAAGGAAATGGAACCAAGAAATGAATGCAAACCTAATATTTCCTCCTTTCCTCTTCTGGTTGAGGCTAAATTACCATGATTGGGTGCTGTGGTTAAATCTGTAAAGTCTTTATTTAAGTGCAGAGTAAAACACCACCATGTAATGAATTAAATTATTAACGAAGACAGAAAGACTCCCGAAAATAAGGATTGGTTAATGTTCCGAGGGGTATTTCTGCTTACGAAAGGTCTGTTCCATCATCTTAAAGGTGCACAATCTTGTTAATGCGAGAGGGGCACTTGTGTTTTGATGGGCAGTTTTCCATTAATAGAGAGGAGACAATCGTATTCGTAGCGCGAACATAATCTGTTCATGACTAGTGTTCGTTGAGGTGCGGTTGTGTTTCATCTCGAGGGGACACATTCATAACTGCGAGGGGGGCAAGTGCCCCTCCCCGGTTTCGCCGCCTCTGCGTTGCGTCGATCGGGGAAAAACACTTGTCTTTAATCCACCTCTGATTAACTACTCAGATAACTGGCAATTATTGTTTGTGGATGTAGCCCCGATCCCACATAACCGCTTGAGCAATTGTTCCAAAAGATGGAGTCAAAAGGTGTATCAGACATACTTAAAATATTTTCACTGGCCCGTGACGAGTACTGATCATGTCACTCAATACAACAAATCTGCTGCCCTCTTAGATCATATAGGCCTCAATGCTATTGATACACAGCAGACAGGGAACCAAACGTAAGACCACCAAAGAAACCAAAGAAAGCAAATCGTACACTTACGTAATCCTTTGTCATCCGAAACGTACAGTACCATGTATGGAATAAAAGAAATTGAAACATTCATTGAAACAGTTCTGTAATACAATCGTGTGTCTGAAGAACAGCAATGTCGGGAAAAGCTATTGGATTTGATTTTCAAACGAATGAAAACTAAATAACAATTAAAAAAGAATGAGTCTAGTTGTTCAATCTGTAAAGGCATCCTGTAAGTTATAAGTAAAACACCACCATGCCATGAAATTTGCAAATATCAAAAAGTTGGTTCTTCAGGTGAAATAGCTACCTTTCCCAGTTAAGCTTAATTTTCCTTCGCTTACATACTGTGTGATTTATTAATTAAAAAAAAAATAACCTAGTTAAAAGTGGAATTTGGTTGGTGGTTTTTGCAATAATGCTTTTGGTATTTTAATGTAAACAAGGGAGTTCTATCTTTTACACATGGTGAGTTCTTTTACCCAAGGAGAAACCTCTTTAAAGGGTCGACTGAGATCTCTAGATAGTTGCATGATTAAAAGAAATTGACTGCAAATGAGAAAAAAAACTCATTAATTTACTTGATTTGGAGAAGAAAATGGTACTTAAAACAAGGTGGTTCTCGAACCACGCTTCTCGCCTGTTTTCTTTTTCATTTTTTTGAAAGAGTGAATAATCAGGGCCAGACTGCTTGGTATGCATTGTAGGGTGGCAATGGCAAGGGGTAGTATAATGAGGATGAGAGGGCCCTGATCAGTGTAGAAATAATTGTTGGCAGTATGAACTGCTAATAATTGTATAACCTTTACACTGAATTGCATCATGAAGTGGAGATTCAACAGTTGCATATTTAAGCTTGGAAGATGTGGTCTGTAAAAGTAAAACTGAACTTGGTTACCTTTGACATCATTATCATGTTAAGGTTGCTATGTTGCATCTATGACTCAAGTATAGTTCCAATTGGACTTCAGCTTTTCAAGTCAGACCAATTTTACATTTTCAGCCTATTTTACAACTTGATCTCAGATGACCTTTGACCTTGGTATGTGACCTTTGTCATTAATTTTATATGAAGGTTGCCATCTTGCATGTATGACTCAAGTTTAGTTCCAATTGGACTTCATCTTTTCAAATGAGACCAATTTTACATGTTCAGCCTATTTACAACTTGACCTCAGATGACCTTTGACCTTGGTATGTGACCTTTTTCATCATTTTCATATGAAGGTTGCCATGTTGCATGTATGACTCAAGTTCGGTTCAAATTGGACTTTATTTTTTTCAACTGAGAAACATTTTACATTTTCAGCCTATTTTACAACTTGACCTCAGATGACCTGTGACCTTGATATGTGACCTTTGTCAGCACTATCATATGAAGGTTGCCATGTTGCAACAAATTCGAAGGTTAAAAAAAGCCACTTGTAAGTTCCTTTAGATAGTGATTTTTTTGTTTACAGAAGATGAAGCCTCTCAAATGGGTCGGCTGAGATTTCTAGACAGTTGCAACATCAACAAAAATTCAAGTGAACCAATATTTTGAAAATATTTTTTTTCTATGAAAGTTTCCTCTTTCCGCTAAACCAAATAACGTGAGTTTAAAGTAGAGTTTGGTCTTGAGTCATAATGAAGTCAACAGGCAATCTTGATTATTTAGACCCAACGACATTCGTTTGAATGTTTGGGGGATTTAAACTCAGTCTGTGGTTGCTTTGAATCTCATGAAACTAGCTGAGCCTCAGTTAACAAAACAAATTATCAATGGCTGGAAAAGAAAAGCACTAGTTGTTGCGTTAAAAGCAAACTGGATATTATAGGTTTTCCCTGCCAATTTTCGAATTGTTACGTTAAAAGCAACTGGATATTATTTTGAAATGTACAACAGCAGACTGTGTACTTGGAGAAAAATGGATCCTTAAATCATTCCAACATTGTATCTTTAGTATTTCATCCTTTCTTCCTTTTTTTTTTTGGGGGGGGGGTTAAATTCCAAATGATTGTATCAAGTTAATATAAGTCTGTATATTTTTTCTGTAAGAAAATAATAAATCATGACCAGTTTTGGAATGTTAATGAAACGTTGGTTCTTGTTTTACCAGAACTATTTGGTTAAATACAATAAGTGGCATCGATTGTGGGGGGGGGGGAGTTGTCTTTACTCCAATACTGATTTAATTACTCAAATAACGGACCATTGCTCGTGGCCATATACATATAGCTCTACCCCCCCCCCCCGATCCCACATAGCCGCTTGAGGAATGTTGCAAAAGACGTCATAAGTCATAATGTGTGTCCGACATCCTTCAAATATTATCATTTAGTTTACCGAGTTTTTTTTGGTAAACTAAATTAACACTAGTGTAACTGCTGGTGAGTTATTCCAAGCTTACCACATGGTGGCGCTCTCCACAACTCATGAGGGCGCTCTTCATTGTTACCACAGATTCATGGTCCTTATTGATGACACATGTCTGTGTCCTAAATTTTTGACTCGTATTTTGACTCGTATTTTGACTCAGTATAATTCGATCATCCTTCCACCCCAGGACCCGAGGACAGAGGTAAACAAAGTTTGATTATTAGAGAACTTTATATTATTGCAGTCTTTGTGCTACATAAGTGTGATTTAGATAAATTTAGGGTTAGATTTTCATTACATTATTTGCATCAGATGATTATTGCTTAGTGCACTTTCGTTGCTAAGATGACCTTTGACCTTACATTTTCGAGAGTTTATTGCTATTATTTTTGATGCACATTTTAGATTAGTGATTTTCCTATATTTTAAGATACCTTGTATTCTAATTAGAGTTAGTTTTGTTTGCTTTGTTGCAGTTTTTACGTGAACTCTGCAATCGCCACAGTCATATTTGGTAATAAATAAGCCAGGAATATACAGTGTTGAACTTGAAACAGTGTTGTTAACTACAACCGCCACAGTAAAAACTCTTCTTGGGATAAGATGTCAGACACGGATGATATACAGGTTGGTGATTCGGCTTCAGTTCTCAGCCATGGCAGTCGCAGTTCGAAAGCCAGCTCAAGACACTCGAACACAGAGCTGCTTCGTATAACAGAGGAGCAGAAGAGAGCAGAGCTTACTGCTCGGTCTGCAGCTATCAATGAAGCACATGAGTTGGAGATATCAAGACGAACATTAGAAATGGAAAATCAACGACTCATGCAGCAGATAGAGATGTCACGACTGGAACTTCAAAGACGAGCGAATCAGCTGAGACTCCAGACAGAGATTAATGTGAGCAGCGCAAGACTTGAAGTTTTGGACAAGTTTGATGGTGAGTCCCCTCAGCAGCATAAGCCAGAGTTGAATGATGTAAATGACCTCCCCCCAATAATTGATGGGTCATTTACCGAGGCAGAAGCTGAGAACGCACCAAACGATAGTCCACAACATCGTGCTCGCAAACCAGAACATGGGACTTTGAATACCTTTCGAGACGCACAGAATGATGGTGACAATTTCCCTAAAACCCCACCCCCTATGTCTACTCCACCTACTGGAATGTCGGATTCATCTGACGCAGTTCTCCCCCCACAGACCAGTGATGTACCCCGCAACGATGTGGCAAGTGCCATCACAGCACTGGCAGATGTGCTCACACACCGGGAGGAGAAATTGCCTAAGAAAGAACCAGAAATCTTCAAAGGCAGTGTATTCGACTTCCCCGTGTGGATGAATTCCTTTTCCGTTCTGGTAGAGCAGCGCTACACATCACCAATCGACCGCCTATACTATTTAGGCAGATACACGTCTGGTGAGGCCCGAGAGTGTATCAAAGGACTTCTCGCCTTGAACAGTGAGAACGCATACCAGAAAGCGAAGAAACTCCTGACTGAGCGGTACGGTAACAAGATGCTAGCTGCAAGCACCTATCGTGAGAAAATAAGCAAATGGCCGACCGTGAAGCAAGACGATGGAAAAGGACTGCGTAATCTCTCAGATTTCCTTTTCCAGTGCGAAACAGCCATGTCAACTCTGAGCCAGTTAAAGGTTCTTGACGACCCAGCCGAGCACAAGAAAATTATAGAGAAGCTACCGAGGCAGGTGCAGGGTCTTTGGCTTCGTTTCGTCGACCAGTGCATGTATGGCCAGAAGGATGCAGAGGAAGGTGACTACCCGCCCTTTGCCGAGCTGTGCAAATTCATCGCAAAGGAGGCTCGCATTGCCTGTAGCCCCTTTCACCAAAAACCGATGGACGAGAAGAGGGAATTGACCAAATTTGTCAAACCTACCAAGTCGGGAACAGCCACGACATTTGCCTCAAAGGCAGATGAGCTCACAACGAAGAAGAAGACTAGCCCCCTAAAGGGCAACACCCCCCCCCTTCACCCAATGCAAACAAGGCATCAACATGTCCCCTCTGCAAGAGCCAACATCAACTCGATTCCTGTAGCAGTTTTGCAGCCATGAGCCTTAGTGAAAGGCATGACCTCATCAAGAAGAGCGGCCTTTGCTTTGGATGTCTCAAATGGGGTCACAGAAGTCGCGAGTGTCGCCACAAGAAGCAGTGTGCAGTCTGTGGGCGCTCCCACCCTACTTTGCTGCACGACTTCTCCAAGTCCACTCCAGATGTGCAGACCAAAGATGACACCGATGACAAAGAAGTGGTTGTTGTTCAATCTACCACACATCGAGTGCAGACACTTGACGTCGGAGAAAATTGCTCACACACTCTCATCGTTCCCGTCATCGTTCATCACATCAAAGAACCCTCTGCGAAGGTGATAGTATACGCCCTATTAGATGAACATTCCGATTCTTGCTTCGTCTCAGATTGGACACTAGAAAGGCTCGGAATCGATGGAGAGGCAGTCCAGCTGAGTCTGTCTACAATATTAGCGAAGGGCACCATATCATCCAGAAAGGTGCATGGCCTAACTGTCAAAGGATTGTCCGAGGACACCGAGATACAATTACCAGGCGCCTACTCCAGAGAATCTATCAATGCAAACCGTGAGCAGATTCCGAAGTTGGACACCGTGAAGGAGTGGCCTCACTTGAAACGAGTCGCCAACCTACTACCTCCCTACCTGAGTGAAACCGAGATCGGACTTTTGATTGGCTGCAATGCAACTCGCGCAATCAAGCCGAGAGATGTCGTCCATGGAGAGGAAGATGCCCCATATGCAGTCAGAACAGCCCTTGGATGGGGAGTGATAGGAATGATGCGTCATGACAACAGCGGCAACAATGTTTGCAGAATTTTGAATGCATCAAAGGAGCAACAAGGCCACTTCGCCTTTCGCACCCAAGTGAAAGAAGTCAGCCCCCTCCAAGTCACAAAAATGTTTGAGATGGACTTCATCGGGAAAGACACCGAAGAAATGGTTTCCCACGATGACCGAAAGTTCATGCAGAAGATGAAGGATGGTATCCACAGACGTGATGATGGCCACTTTGAGATGCCCCTCCCACTGAAAACAGATGTCCAGCTCCCCAACAACAAGCCAGTAGCTCTGAAGAGGCTCAACAAGCAAAAAATGAAGATGTTGAGCAACCAAAAATATCGAGATGATTACAAGACCTTCATGGAAAACATCATCGAAAAGGGCTACGCAGAGAAGGTTCCGGACGAGGAACTTGACCTGGACAACAAGGCCGTGTGGTACATACCTCATCACGGGGTATACCATCCCAAGAAACCAAACAAGATCAGAGTCGTCTTCGACTGCAGTGCTGAATACGAGGGTGAAGTGTTGAATCGACACCTACTGCAGGGACCCGATATGACCAACAATCTTGTTGGGGTTCTTTGCCGATTTCGGAAGGACCACGTCGCCTTCACCTGTGACATCGAAGGCATGTTTCATCAAGTTGGCGTCAACGTGGAAGATCGCAACTACCTGAGATTCTTGTGGTGGCCAGGAGGTGACATGAACCGGTCCCCAAATGAATATCGAATGACGGTTCACTTGTTCGGCGCTACCTCTTCCCCAGCTTGTGCAAATTTTGCACTGAAGTGTGCTGCTGATGCATACGAAGATAGTTGTGGGACGGCGGCAGCCGACTTCATACGGAAGGACTTCTACGTCGATGATGGACTAATGTCAGTCCCAACTTCCGATGAAGCCCTGAAGTTGATAGAAGACAGCAGACGGCTGTGTCAGAAGAGTGGATTTCACCTTCATAAGTTCATCTCCAATGACAAGGTGGTTGTGAATTCCATACCTCTCAGTGAACGAGCCAAGGATGTTCAGAACGTTGACGTGTTCTCAGAAGGCCTTCCCATCGAGCGTACTCTAGGTGTACAGTGGTGTGTTGAATCCGATGCTTTCCAGTTCAGAGTCCACTTCAACGACAAACCACCCACTCGTCGTGGCATCATGTCGAGCGTCAGCTCCATATTTGATCCACTTGGTCTGGTAGCACCAGTCTTGCTTGTTGGAAAACGCATTCTCCAAACCTTGTGTCGTGATGGGTATGCATGGGACGACCCAATCTCAGAGGAAATCAGATCAGAGTGGGAGAAATGGAGGAACGACATCCTGCAATTGGCAACCCTGAATATCCCACGATGCTACAAGCCTGAGAAGTTTGATGTCATCAAGTCAGCAGAACTGCATCACTTTTCCGATGCCAGTACCGAAGGCTATGGTCAGTGTAGCTACTTGCGACTGATAGACGACAAAGGAAGTGTATGTACAACTCTGGTCATGGGAAAGTCCAGAGTAACTCCTTCGAAGCCAGTTACCATCCCTCGACTGGAACTTACAGCAGCCGTCATCTCGGTGAAAGTCAGTACTTTCCTCATGAAGGAACTAGAGTATAACGATGTGACTCAGTTCTACTACACTGATAGCAGAGTCGTACTCGGGTATATTGCCAATGACAGCAAGAGGTTCCACATATTCGTCGCCAACCGCGTGCAGAAGATCAGAGATCACACCACACCTGAAGATTGGCGACATGTTGACACTAAAACTAACCCGGCAGATGCAGCTTCCCGAGGTCTCTCTGCTGAGTCACTCATCAAGAGCAAACTCTGGTGGAGTGGTCCAGATTTCCTGCAAGAAAGAGAACCCCCCCCCACCTGACACTGAGTACGTGGAGCCAAGTTCAAACGACCCAGAGGTGAAGAAGGCATCTGCATTCAATGTCCGAACTGAGGCCTCCAACTACCCGAGCATGCTTGAAAGATTCCAGTCCTACTCAAACTGGTTTCGCCTGAAACGTGCAGTAGCAATGTGCCAACGCTACATGAAGAAGCTTAGAGATCGCTGCTTCAAAACAGCTACTACTGCACCTGATGCCAACACCCCCCTCACTGTAGATGAACTCCAGCATGCAGAACGACTGATACTGAGGCTGACTCAAGAGGAAGCATTTCCAAAGGAAATTCGAGCCCTCAGCAAACCCGATGGTCTTCCTAATGGCGAGCAGCAAGGCCCAGGAAACCCCCTGAACAAGAGCAGTCCTCTGTATATGCTTGACCCAGTCATAGATGAAACGAAGCTGTTGAGAGTCGGTGGACGCATCAAGCAAGCCAAAGCACCTAAAGAGATCAAGCATCCCATCTTGCTTCCACGTCATGGCCACGTGACTGACCTGGTGATTGAACACTACCATGTTCAGAGTTGTCACTCAGGCCGTGGCATGACACTGAATAGCATTCGCCAAGCTGGCTTTTGGATTCTGGGGGCAAGATCAGCTGTTACCAGCCATATTTGGAAGTGCGTGACCTGCCGCAAACTCAGACGTGCTCCCTGTGGGCAGAAGATGGCAGAACTACCCAAGGACAGATTGGATCCATCCGCACCCTTCACCTATAGCGCTGTAGACTACTTTGGTCCCTTCCTGATTAAAGAAGGACGAAAGGAGCTAAAAAGATGGGGGGTCATCTTCACCTGTATGGCATCCCGCGCAGTCCATATCGAGACAGCTAATTCGCTGAACACCGACTCCTTCTTGAATGCCTACCGCAGATTCACATGTAGAAGGGGTCCAGTGAGACAACTCCGCTCCGATAGAGGCACAAACTTCATCGGTGGAAAGAATGAACTGGACGCTGCCCTAGCCGAGATGGATCAACCCAAGATTTCTCAAGAGCTGCTAAAGGACAGTTGTGATTGGGTGACATTCAATATGAACGTTCCCACAGCCAGTCACATGGGAGGCACATGGGAAAGGCTCATCCGTTCAATCAGACAGGCGCTCTCAACATTGCTGCAGAAACATGGGCAACAACTGGATGATGAGCTCTTGAGGACCCTCATGACCGAGGCTGAAGCAATTGTGAACAGCCGACCTCTCACCTACGTTGACATGGTGGCCCCAGATTCAGAAGAGCCCCTCACGCCAAGCCAACTGCTAACGCTGAAAAGCAAGGTAGTTCTCCCTCCGCCAGGAGTCTTCATCCAACAAGATCTTTATTGCCGACGCCGATGGCGCAGAGTCCAGTACCTTGCCAACCAGTTCTGGTCACGTTGGAAGACTGAGTATTTGTCGACCCTACAAGAGCGGAAGAAGTGGCAGAAGGCTCAGCAGAATCTGGAGATAGGCAACATTGTCATGATGGTCGACAACTCCACTCCCCGATGCCAGTGGCAACTCGCTCGTGTGGTTGAGACGTACCCAAGCTCAGACGGTCACATCAGGAAGGTCAAGCTCCAAACTGGTCGATCTGTCTTCGAGAGGCCTATCCATAAGGTTGTACTACTGTTGGACCAGGGCCGCCCCGACGAGGAGCCAAATGCCTGAACTTGAGCCGATACATGAACTGTACTTAAAGGAGCCACGTAGTGTTCACATTCTCAGTAGTATAGTAGTTACTATTTCTAGTTTTGCGCCTTTAGTCAAGTTTAATGTTAAAATTGTTAATGTTGTTAAGTAATTTGAAAGGTCAAATTAGGGGAGCCATGTAACTGCTGGTGAGTTATTCCAAGCTTACCACATGGTGGCGCTCTCCACAACTCATGAGGGCGCTCTTCATTGTTACCACAGATTCATGGTCCTTATTGATGACACATGTCTGTGTCCTAAATTTTTGACTCGTATTTTGACTCGTATTTTGACTCAGTATAATTCGATCATCCTTCCACCCCAGGACCCGAGGACAGAGGTAAACAAAGTTTGATTATTAGAGAACTTTATATTATTGCAGTCTTTGTGCTACATAAGTGTGATTTAGATAAATTTAGGGTTAGATTTTCATTACATTATTTGCATCAGATGATTATTGCTTAGTGCACTTTCGTTGCTAAGATGACCTTTGACCTTACATTTTCGAGAGTTTATTGCTATTATTTTTGATGCACATTTTAGATTAGTGATTTTCCTATATTTTAAGAAACCTTGTATTCTAATTAGAGTTAGTTTTGTTTGCTTTGTTGCAGTTTTTACGTGAACTCTGCAATCGCCACAGTCATATTTGGTAATAAATAAGCCAGGAATATACAGTGTTGAACTTGAAACAGTGTTGTTAACTACAACCGCCACAACTAGTTTAACGTGGAGTGTACACTTGAAAGACATCTAGTGAAAAGAAATCTTGAAGCCCTCAAAAGCAATTCCACGGTATACAAGTTTTATAGTGAACCGATATTTCCAGAGAGAAAGAAGCTTCCCGAATAATTATGAAAGAACAACAGCAGACGTTTCACTTATCTTGAAGAATTAAAAATAGAAATATCAAGACAATCTCGATCACTTTGGCGTTCGTAGGACTGTTTGGGGACTTTCACTCAGTCTGTGGTTGCATTGAATCTCAGTTAATCTTAGAGTCTGTGATTTGTTGTGATTCTTTACTGTTTGTTCTGTCTAGTGGTTGAATCTGTAAAGCCTTCGGTATGTAATGAATAATGTTTTCATGGATTATTTAATTAATTTAACGAAAACAGAACGATTCACGAAATTCAACTGAACCCGCTTTGTTGTAAATATCTCATTTTTGGTTCACTAGCTGAATTGTTTCCGTTTTTAAAGTGATGGTTTCCTTTTCCATGCGCTTGCAAAATGTTTGATTTGTGACTTCAAAAGATATGCAAACAAGTTGAAGACGGAATTAGGACCAACAGATACGCAGTATATTGCTTGTTGGTATTCGAAAGTTGTTGGTATTCGAAAGCGAGTTGTATCCCTTACGTGGTGAGTTTTGGCATTGAAGATGAAACCTCTTAAACGGGTGGACTGAGATCTCAAGACAGAAGATTTCTGAACAGAATTAGTGTGTAAACAGAAAACATCAAAACAGTCTCGATGATTTTGACCCGACGACATTTGTTAGAATGTTGCCGGGACTGTATTCCGCGTGTGGTTGCTTCTTTGAATAAATGAAGACGTTTATGTCGATTCAGTTATAAACTGGAGATGAACCTGACCGAAGGATCTCCCGTTACCGTACCAAATTCAACTAAACACACTTCTTTTCTGTAAAAATCTTGTGTTTTGGTGCAGCAGGGACATGTTTTGGGTACAAGTTGATGTGTTTAATAATTGTTCTACACTACATGGTTAAGAGGACATCCTAAAATAAATCACTGAAAAGCTTTTCAAAATATTTGCAATATTATTTACCAGACCGCGTCATCATTACGTGAATCTCCCATTTGAGCTAGACTCGAGTTTGCCTATGACAAACTCGGGTCGTACCTACCGATTTCAGATTCAGCAGCTTTCAACGCGATCTCTCTTATCTGATCAAGAGTTAACGAGCCATGAACAGGTGGTGTATGGTGCCTCTGCCTGTGAGCTTACTGACAAAAAATATCTACCAAAGTCTACTAGGTTCTTGTTTATAATGTAAAGTATTTGGAAAAGTGTCAAAAGTTATTATGTGAGCAACTTTGAATCATAAAAATCGATCAAATATATCTCGAAATATCAAAAAAGAAACAGTCAGACTTCAGCCATGCTCTTCAAGGTTTCCGTTATTTGATACCACCAGCATATGGTCACTGGCCCTGGGGAAGTGGGTGCCAGGGTAAGTGTTTATCTTATAATTACTTTACTGATAACAGCTGATAAGAGTCACAGTGAAATCGGTAGGTACAGTTCAGGGGTTTTGGCAAATGGGAGTTTCACGTAATGATTACTAGATAGAAAAAAAATACTGCAGCAAAAAGGAATCATGTAAATGCTGTTAGTGTTAATATTATTATAGCGACAGAAAATCCGCCATATATGGAGAAACAGCGAGGCAAACTAAGGATCTCAAAAGTTATACCAGGGAAGGCGAATCGTATACACTTACGTCTCTCTGCGAGTTTTCGTCCAGGCGCAGTGAGGGAATAAAAGAGACATGAGAATAACTTTAATTGAGCAAGTATTCTATTACAAAATTGTGTGCCTAAAGTCAAGAAATATGAAACAAAATGTCATACGATTTGATCATTTTAACCGGAGTGAATGAAACGGTCTATTCAAGCTTGCGATAGTTATAAGGCGAGCCATCAGATAACAGACCGTTCGGGTACCGGGTCCGGTATGCTAATTTCTTTCACCCCAATCGGTACGAAGCCAGAAGCCACCCGGTCACTGAAGCGTGACGCCCCAATCCGTCCAAACTGGTGAATCAGGGTTTCACAATAGGCAACATAAATTGAAGTCTGGCCATTGTTGGAGGATTATTCAGCCCAGCGGCAACTTCTATGAAGCTCAAAACAGTCATTGTTGCCTACTGGAGGATTAGCGCGTCGCAAATTGATTCCTTTGTGATGAGACAGAGCCATGGTGCAGAAGCCTGGTGGAGTTAATCCAGGCCGATCAGTTCCATGCAAGATCCCAATCCCTTCAACATACTGGGCGGGCTCAACCCCGAACGGTCCGGGGAGGGATTCTAATTTGAGGGCTCGCCTAACATCAACAAGAATTCAACAAGACCAACTTTGTGGAAGCATTTCATGATTGGCTCGGTGTGAGAGTTTTTTTCGGTCAACTAAATTAACACTAGTTTAAAGTGGAGTGTAAACTTGAAAGACATCTAGTGAAAAGAAATATTGAAGCCCTCAAAAGCAATTCAACGGTAAACAAGTTTTATAGTGAATATTTCCAGAGAGAGAGAAGCTTCCCGAATAATTATGAAAGAACAACAGCAGACGTTTTACTTATCTTGAAGTATTAATATTATGTTATGCATTAAAGATGAAACCTCTTAAACGGGTCAGCTGAGATATCTAGACAGTTGCAACATTAACAAAACATTAACACATGTTTCATTTACCTGTGCACTAAATAACATAAGTTTAAAGTGGAGTTTAGTTTTGCATCATATTAGTGAAATGGGCAATTTCGAATATTTTAACCTTAAAGGAGCCGGGTCATTATGACCACTTCGCTGTTTCCCCTCCCCTTTTTAATCTCAACCATCGAAGGACGACTATAATTATTAAACTTAGTGCATTCATAAAGAACAACTTAATATGAACATACCGAAGAAATTTCATGACTATAGGTAAAGGGTTTCAGAATGACCGGTTAGTTAATTATTCATATGCACCAATGGCAACTCTGCTTTGTGTAAAATACATATGGGGAAATTGAAAAAAAAAAATTCTGCGCGGTAACCAATGGTCCGAATGTTCTGTTATTCGCATCAAAAGATGCGCAAGACGCCAAGCTAAAAAGTCAGGAAAGCTCTAGGCGGGATTTTTTTTTGGGGGGGGGGGCAAGGGTATTGCAAAAAAATGGGGGAGGGTCCGCCCCGACTCTTTTAGTGTTAACTCAGTCTAAGGTTGTCTTACTGTTTGGTTAAATACAATAAGTGGCATCGATAGGGGGGAGTTGTCTTTATTCCAATACTGATTTAATTACTCAAATAACGGACCATTGCTTGTGGCCATATACATATAGCTCTAAACCCAGCCCCCCCCCCTCCCCGATCCGATTTATGCTTGTGGCCATATACATATAGCTCTAACCCCAGCCCCCCCCTCCCCGATCCCACATGTAATTGGATCTGACTTTGGAACCAATAGAAATCAGACGTAAATTACATTGTATCTACCTCAGCATATTCGTGGACAAAACAAATGACCTATGACTGCAAAGAAAAAAACGCTCATTAAATTAATTTTAAAAGAGAAGAGTTTTTGCTGTCTTGCAGAAGGAAATGGAACTGTTGAAACATGTAAACATAATATTTCCTCCTTTTCTTTTTGTTTTAAGCTAAATTACCATTACATTAATACAGTCGTGTGTCTAAAGAACAGCAATATCAAGAAAATATTATGGATTTGACTTTGGAAAGAATAGAAATCAGACGTTAATTACATTGTATCTGCTTCAGCTTCTTCGTGGACAAAATAAATGATTAATGACTGCAAAGGAACAGACAGCTCATCAAATTAAAAGCAAGCTGGACATTATTTCGAATTGAACAAGAGTATACTTATTACTTGTTTCTGAGAAGGAAATGGAACTTTAAAAAATGCAAACATAATATTCCCTCCTTTCCTTTTTTTTTTGGTTTAGGCTCAATTCTGTTTGTAAATATCTTATTTTTGGTTCGGTAGGTGACTTATTTTTTTTTCGTTTTAAAGTTATGGTTTCTTTTTTCCTTCCGCTTGCATATTGTGTGATTTCTGACTGCAAACGATCTGTTAAGTAGTTGAAAATGGAATTAGGTCAAGGAAATATGCAGAATAATGCTGAGATGTATTCAAAGGTAAGAAAAAAGCAAGTTGTATCTTTAAGATTTTACTTATTTCACGGAGGATGAAACCTCTTACACGGGTCGGCTGAGATCCCTTTAGACAGTTAATACAAACTATCAACTGTTCCAAATTCTTGGAAATTATTTCATTTTTGTTTGGAAAAGGGATGACACGATCCCATTCAGTGACACTTCTTCTCCAGTGACTTGTATGGATTAATATGGATTTTAAGCACTTAGTCTTTGCCAGTTATGTCAAATTGAAATGTAGAGTGGGCGGACATAAGAGATTGAGTGATTATGGTAGGCTGGGTAATGTGAGTAAGGTTGCGAGCAAAGGATTATGTTCGCAAATCCTCTTGTTGCCGCGCAGCGAAATATTTTCCGGGGCTACGCGCCGTAAAAACTGAATTTTCCCATACATACGTCGTGTACACTGAGCAGAATTACCATTCGCACATATTAATAATTATTTAGCCATAATTACAAAACCCTTAAACCTATAGTCACGACATTTCTTGGGTATGTTTATGGTGAGTTGCTCTATGCATGTATCGAGTTCCAAAATGTTTGGTCACTCGATGGTCGAGATCTTAGCCCCCCCCCCCCCCCTCGGCTAAAAGATGGTCAAAATAGCCCGGCCCCTTTAGGGTCAATACAGCAAATCTGCTCCCCTTTGAGATCATATAGGCCTCAATGCTATTGATACACAACAAACAGGGAACCAAACATAAGACCACCAAAGTAACCAAAGAAATCAAATCGTACACTTACGTCATACTTTGTCATCCGAAACGTACCGTACCGTGTATGGAATAAAAC